CCGAGCTGCCGAGTGTGAGGTGGGGCTGGTGGGTTCCCCGCTCTACCTCTGCCACGTGCCTTGGGTGGGAGGAAGAATAAATAATGCAGGTGAGCTGCATGAGGTAAATACTTTCCGCTCGTGGTAAGGGTTTAGGTTTTCTTGCTTCTCTCGTTGTCGTGGGTTTATGAGCAAGGCAGAGGTGTTGCCGGAGCCCACCGTGCAGATGGGCAGTGGGAGAGTTTGTTAGGATGTTGCTGGGTGGGAGACAGAAACCTGGCCCTGCATCATCAGAATTAAGAAAGAAGCCCTTTCAGCTCCGCAGATGGCCCCGACGGCCGGTGAAAACCGACTGCATTCCTCCTTGGCTGTCCCTGCTTCGCGCCGTGGATCGCAAGGGCTCGTTTTCCCCGACCGAGTAATTGGCCAGGCTTGTGTGCTCAGAGCGTGTTAAGCTGCGGCACCAAGCGGTGCTGAGTCCAGGCACCACTGCCAGCCCTAACTGCTCGCTTCTGCCTAATGTTTAATTTTTCTCCTGCCTCTTTCAATTAATTTCCTATTAATTGGGTTTGGAATGAAGTTCTCAGATGACTGATAAATCTTCCTTAAGCCTAGGGGCTAATCGGTTTTGGAGGAGGGAGAGCGGTGTTAATAGAGGAGGAAAAAAAGTGCATTAGTCATAGCAAATCTGTCAGATATGAACTGAAGCAAACGGTAAATCATCCTGGTGGGTTAACAGGGGAAAAAAAAAAGGGCTCCTGTAGTACCCCACGTCTATCATCTTCTTGCAGTACTCGCTGGCATGAATATTGGTCACTAGTAAACCTTGGGAGATGGTGTGTACTCTTCCAGTAGTGCTTCTGAGCATTTCATATTTTTTTTTGGCAAGTGATGAAGTGTTTTCCCTAAATCTTGAAGGACCCTGAATACTGCCGCTAATTAGAAGAGGTTGTATGCTATAGGGGCCCCGCTATTCAATTAAAATCATTAAGAGCCTTTTGTCGGCTCCAGCATCAGAAAGCGCAGATGTGACCTAAACTGTTCTAAGAGTCTCTCAGTATCCCCAAGGAAATTTAGAAAAAACAAATTATATATAGATATATGCGTCGCAGAGCGTTCAAAGGCGTGAAACTAGAGGGCTTTTCAGCAGTGCGTTATCCTGCGGGGATGGGGCTGAGACCGACCCTGCCCGGGAAGGGTTCCGGGGGCCAAGAATTCCCCCGCTGGAGCCCAGAAGGTTTAACGTGTTCTGGAGTCACGGCCAGTGCAGTTGGTGACTGGGGGTAACGGCTTCTGGGGGGTCGGGGTCTCACCCCGGTATGTCTTGGTCAACTTATCATTAATTTATCTGTTCCAGCAAGTTTTTAGTTCATGTGAAGTAACTGGGTAGGGGGAAAGTTGTTGTGAAATACGCAGAGGTGATGGGAAAGTGCCATTTTAAAAACCTGAATGTGGTCCAGTGGTGACTATTTTTAGAGGGTTTCTGCTGTCATTCCCCAAGCTGGGAACAAAATAAGGAAAGTCACGGTGCTGGAAGGGGCTGAGCTGTCCCAGCAGGAGTCGTGTTGGTTGGACTGGGCAGGGGAAAATCACCAGCGCTCCCTGTCACGGGACGACTGAATCGCTGTGGCGTTTCTGAGCCGGATTGTTGGTTTTCGGGGTTTTGGTTTGCCTCCGAAGCTTAATGGCAGACTGGTTGGTCCAAAGACTTCCATCTCCTGGTTTGCAACAGGTGACAACCGCTGATGTCCCACATGTCTCCCTCTTCTTCCACTTTTTGTTGTCTGGATTTTTTCCCCCCAGCTTTTTCTCCGCTAACCCGCTTGGGGGGACGAGGGTCCCCAGCCGGGGTGGGGGGGAGCAGAGCTCCCCAGCACATGCGGGGAGAAGGCAGAGGCGTGACGCCAAGGTGCTAATTGCACGAAGGACATGAATTTCCTTTGGAGCATGCTGCGGTAGGGTTTGCTTGTATTCCTCAGTCAGGTCTGTGTCACCGGGAGGAGCTCGGAGGCTCGTCACGGTGCGGTTAAAGCCCCCAGAAGAGGTGACTCGTTGGGGGGGACAGGAAACGCAGGGTGGTCTCAAACGCTCGTCGTGGGCGGTCTGAGCTTATAGAAATAGGTGGGACCGGCTCATGGATGTCCCACTCGCGACGGTGCTACCGTCTGCCGGCGGCTTTTGTATTATAGACAGCTCTTGGTGGCTTTGGGGTTGGTTTTACTGGGGGTTTGGCGGTTCCTTTTACCGTGGAAGGATGACATGTGAGGCTCCTCTGCTTGCAGCGCGGTGAGAGCAGGGAGCGTTGGAGGGGCAGAAGGTGTTGCGTCTCGTCCCGCTCCCTCGAGACCAGCACTTCCTCAGGGTGGAACAGCGTTACAAAGTCTTTCCTCTGATGAAAAGCAATATTTGTGTACCAGTTCCTAAACTGGGTTTTATTTGGGCGGGGTGTATGTGGAGCAGGGAGCCGCAGGGCATTTCGCAGCGCTGCCCAGGACCGGGTTCAGGGCTGGGCAAAGCACTTCATGTGTGGAAATTACTGCAGCCCCTTGTCCTGCGTGGCATTTCTGTATTTCTCCCTGGTTTTACCAGGCTGCCAGCAAGCTGTCCGTGTGTCGGTGGTCAGCGAGCATCCCTCGCTGGTGCCTGGGAGAGGGGGAACATGAAGGTGGACCACAGGTTGACCATGAGCCAGCAGCGTGCCCTGGCTGCCAAGAAGGCCAATGGCATCCTGGGGTGCATAAAGAGGAGTGTGGTCAGCAGGTCGAGGGAGGTTCTTCTTCCCCTCTACACTGCCCTAGTGAGGCCCCATCTGCATCCAGTTCTGGGCTCCCCACTTCAAGAAAGATGAGGAGCTACTGGAGAGAGTCCAGCGGAGGGCTACAAGGATGATGAGGGGACTGGAGCATCTCTCCTACGAGGAATGGCTGAGGGAGCTGGGCTTGTTCAGCCTGGAGAAGAGAAGGCTGCGAGGGGACCTTATAAATGCTTACAAATATCTGAAGGGTGGGTGTCAG